CTCCCGAGTAGCTGGGACTACAGGCGCCCGCCACCACACCTGGCTAATTGTTTTGTATGTTTAGTAGAGACAGGGTTTCACCGCGTTGGCCAGGATGGTCTCGATCTCCTGTCCTCATGATCTGCCCGCCTCTGCCTCCCAAAGTGCTGGGATTACAGGCGTGAGCCACTGCACCTGGCTGCATAGTTTTCGATCATAAGGATACACTTGCAGGGCAGGGTGTGGTGGCTCATGCCTGTGATACCAGCATCTTGGGAGGTCAAGGCAGGTGGATCACTTGCCAGAAGTTCAAGACCAGCCTGACCAACATGGTAAAACCCCGTCTCTACTAAAAATAACAAAAATTATCCAGGCGTGGTGGTGCATACCTATAATCCTAGCTACTCAGGAGGCTGAGGCACGAGAATCCCTTGAACCCCGGAGGTGCGGAGGCTACAGTGAGCCGAGATTGCACCACTGCATTCCAGCCTGGCCATTTCCAGCTTTTCCTGATGATAAACAGTACTACAGAGACCAGCCTCATACCTGCCTGTGTGTGCTTGTGCAGGCTTTTCTTTTGCTGTTGGTTTGTTTGGTTGGTTGGTTGGTTGGTTTTAGTAGCTAAGACTTCAGGCATGTGCCACTATTCCTGGCTATTTTTATTTTTTTGTGGAGTTGGAGTCTCTAGGGCTGGGCGTGGTGCCTCACAACTGTAATCCTAGCAGTTTGGGAGGCTAGGGTAGGAGGATCATTTGAGCCCAGGAGTTCAAGACCAGCCTGGGCAACGTAGCAATACCCCATCCCTATTTTAAAAAAGAGAGAGAGAGAGAGAGAAAGAGAGAGAGAGAGAGAGAGAGATTAGGGTCTCTACAACACTCCTGGGCTCCAGCAGTTCTCCCACCTCAGCCTCCCAGAGTGCTGGGATTACAGCATGAGCCACCGTGCCCAGCCTTGTGCAGGCTTTTCTATTGCATGGATTTCTGGGAGGCCAAATGTTAAGCTGAGGCCAGTCATCCTTCAGTTCTCAGCTCTGATGCTCTTGTCTCCTGGGGAAAGCATTCCTGACCATTCTGTATTTTTTTTATTTTATTTTTATTTTTATTTTTTGAGACAGAGTCTCGCTCTGTCGCCCGGGGTGGGGTGCAGTGGTGTGATCTCCACTCACTGCAACCTCTGCCTCCCAGGTTCACGCCTTCTCCTGCCTTAGCCTCCTGAGTAGCTGGGACTACAGGCACATGCCACCACGCCCAGCTAATTTTTTGTATTTGTAGTAGAGACGGGGTTTCACCGTGTTAGCCAGGATGGTCTCAATCTCCTGACCTCATGATCCACCAGCCTCGGCCTCCCAAAGTGCTGGGATTACAGGCAGGAGCCGCTGCACCAGGCCTCATTCCTGACCGTTCTTGGTGTTACTTGCTTCAATAGTTCCCTGGACATCTCCTCACCAATGCATACTCTTTGCCCCATTGATAGATGTTGCTAAATTGTAGAAAGCATTACATAGTTGCTGTTTGTATCCAGGCTGACAATCCCTGCCTTTTGATGGGAGTGTTTAAACCATTCACGTTAAATATAATCATTACTGCTAATGGTTGGATTTGCATTAGCCATTTTGCTATTTGTTTTCTGTATGTCTACTATATTTCTTGCTCCTCTGTTCTTCCTTACTGCCTTATTATGTAGTAAATAAATATAATTTCAGGCCAGATGTGGTGGCTCACACCTGTAATCCCAGCACTTTGGGAGGCCCAGGCGGGCATATCACCTGAGGTCAGGAGTTCGAGACCAGCCTGGCCAGCATGGCAAAACCCTGTCTCTACTAAAAATACAAAAATTTAGCCGGGCATGGTGGCCTGCACCCATAATCCCATCTACTTGGGAGGCTGAGGCAGGAGAATCGCTTGAGCCAGGAAGGCAAAGGTTGTAGTGTAGTGGGCCAAGGCTGCACCACTGCCCTCCAGCCTAAGTGACAGAATGAGACTCTGTTTCAAAAGTTAAAAATAAAAAATATATATAATTTAGTATAACATTTGGATTCTACTCTTGTTTAACTATCTTTTTAGTTATTATAATGTGCATCTATCAGTGAAATTCAGGTTAATACTAAATTCCAATAAAATATAAAACTTTTCTCCAATATTGTACTGTTTCCTTCTCCCTTTTTTGTGCTCTGTTTATCGGATATATCATATCCATATATGTTTTAACCCAGCAGTGTAGTATTATAATTATTGCCTTATACAGTCTTACATCTTTAAGGAAGTTAAGAGAAGAAATAAGAAAGCATATACTTATAGAATCCTATTTTAAAGCACAGTTTGCCATCTTGGGCTATTCACTTCTGTCTACTGACTCAGGTCATTGTCTAGAGTCATTTCTTTCAACCTCAGGACTTTTTTGTTTTTCTTTTTTTTGAGACGGAGTCTTGCTCTGTCACCTAGACTAGAATGCAATGGCGCAATCTCGGCTCACTGCAACCTCTGCCTCCTGGGTTCAAGCAATTCTCCTGCCTTGGCCTCCTGAGTAGCTGAGATTACAGGTGCCTGCCACCACTCCATTGATTTTTGTATTTTTAGTAGATTCGGGGTTTCACCATGTTGGCCAGGCTGGTCTCGATCTCCTGACAGGTGATCCACCTGCCTTGGCTTCCCAAAGGGCTGGGATTAACCGGAGGAGTTTTAAAATTATTTTGTATCAGGCAGATATGCTAGCAACAAATTCTCTCCATCTCTGTTTATAAAGGAACATCTTTCTACTGCCTTCATTTTTCAAGGATGGTTTTGCTGGATATAGAATTCCTGGTTAACGGTTGTTTTCTTTCAGCACTTTAAAAATTACTTTTTATTTCATTCTTTTAAATGAGAAGTCAACAGTTAATTGTATTTTTTTTTCTTTTTTATAGAAATGGGGTCTCATTATGTTTCCCAGGCTGGTTTCCAACTCCTGGGCTCAAGGGATCTTCCCGTCTCGGCCTCCCAAAGTGCTGGGATTATAGGCCTGTTAATTGTATTGATGCTCCCCTATATGTGATGCATCATCTTGAAGCTTTCAAGATGTTTATGTTAGCATTTAACTTTCTTTTTATTTATTTATTTATTTAATTTTTTTTGGAGACAGAGTTTCACTCCTGTTGCCCAGGCTGGAGTGCAACAGCATAATGGTGTGATCTCGGCTCACCGCAACCTCCGCCTCCCAGGTTCAAGGGATTCTCCTGCCTCAGCCTCCCGAGTAGCTGGGATTACAGGGGTGCGCCACAATGCCTGGCTAATTTTTTTGTATTTTAGTAAAGATGGGGTTTCTCCATGTTGATCAGACTGGTCTCAAACTTCTGACCTCAGGTGCTCCACCCGCCTTGGCCTCCCAAAGTGCTGAGATTACAGGCGTGAGCCACCGCGCCCGGCCAGCATTTAACTTTCAACTCTTTTTCTAGGTGTGAATCTCTGTATTTTTCCTACTTGGTGTTTGTTGAGCTTCTTAGATGTGTAATGTTTTTCATCAGATTTAAGAAGTTTCCAACCATTATTTCTTCAAATATTTCTTCTGCCCCTTCTCTCCTCTCCTTCCAAAGTTCCTGATGCACATATGTTGGTACCCTTCATACCGTCCCAAAGTTTCTGCCCCGGAAGAGCTTCTTCATTCACTGAGCTGGGAACGGGTGGGGAGAGGACAAAATGGGACGAATTTCCTCTATTCTTGCCTAAAGTTCAGTTTCTCGATCATAAATGCCTCTCAAATTGTCGTACGTGTTTGGTCAGTTTTTGGAGTACTGAAATGGTTGTTTGTGGTCAATTTGGTCATCTCTGGGGAGAAGATTTGCCAGTCTTCTCATTTGACTATAGTCAAAAAGTACCATCCTGTGATACTGCTAAATTAACCCTCAAAAAGGATTTATTAACTTCTATATATAATCCTAGCTGGGTGTGGTGGCACACACCCGTGTTCCCAGCTACTTAGGAAGCTGAGGTGGGAGGATCACCCGAACCCAGGAATTTGAGGCCAGCCTGGGCAACATAGTGAGACGTTGTCTCTTTAAATAAAAAACCAATAATCCTCCCACCCGTTCCCCCCCCCCCCCGAATGCCCCTTTTATATACATATGTGTATGTTTTTGCATAGAAAAAGGTTGAGCCGGCGCAGTGGCTCACGCCTGTAATCCCAACACTTTGGGAGGCTGAGTTGGGGGATCATCTGAGGTTAGGAGTTTGAGACCTGCCTGGCCAACATGGTGAAACGCTGTCTCTACTAAAAATACAAAAAACTTAGCTGGGTGTGGTAGCAAACATCTGTAATCCCAGCTATTGGGGAGGTTGAGGCAGGAGAATCGCTTGAACTCAGGAGACTGAGGATGGAGTGAGCCGAGATTGCACCACTGCACTGTGGCCTGGGTAACAGAGTGAGACTCTGTCTCAAAAAAAAAAAAAAGAAAAGAAAAAGGTTAAGGGCCAGGCCCAGTGATGGGAACATAGCGAAACCCCATCTCTACAAAAATTAGCCAGGCACAGTGGTGCATGCCAGTAGTCGCAGCTACTCAGAGGCTGAGGTGGGATGATCACTTGAGGCTGGGAGGTCGAGCCTGTGGTGAGCTGAGATCGCGCCACTGCATTCCAGCCTGGGTGACAGAGTGAGACCCTGTCTCGAAAAAAAAAAAAGAGAGAAAAGTTAGGAACGAAAAAGCGCAAACTATAAGCCATAGTTCCCTCTAGAGATGAGCAGGAGGTTGGATCCCCACCTTTAGCTGCATAGGTTGTACCAAGGAGACTGGAGTGAATTTTTCAGATTCCCATAGAGGAACCAAATGTGCTAGAAGGCCATCCTCGGGTGGGATTGGGCGCCGTGCAGGCAACCTTGCCTTTTCTACAGATAGGCGTCTATATTGTTGGAATTTTCCACAGCGGTAATATATTTGTGTCTCTCTTGTGCAAATGAACCTTTTTGATTCCCAGGAGTAAACTTCAGTAGCGCTGTCTTGCCAAATGTGGAATGGATTTGGTTTTTTTATCTCTTTCATTTTTGTTTTGCAGTGACATGGGCTCGAGGGTTGGCTACCCCACTCAGGTTTACAAAACTGCCAGTGCAGAGACTCCTCGGCCCTCCCAGCTGGCCCAGCCCAGCCCCTTCCAGCTCTCCGCCTCCGTCCCCAAGTCCTTCTTCTCCAAGCAGCCTGTGCGCAATAAGCACCCAACAGGGTGGAAGAGAACGGAGGAACCCCCACCACGGCCACTCCCCTTCAGTGACCCAAAGAAGTAAGTGCCTGGACGTCCAGCAAGGCGCTCGCCAGATCCACACCAGGGCGTCTCGGGGGCGGAAAGAGGGTGATGCCACATGCTGTCATTGTACAGATGACTGTGAGCCAGTGTACACACTGGGGCTGCAACTGCGAACAGGACAGGCGAGAACCCCTCTTAGGGAGCTGGCATTCCAACTGGGGTGACCAACAGTAAATGGAATGAATAGAGAAGCACACAGTAGGTCCATGGCGGTTAGCCCTGTGCCGCATCCGGGTGAGGAACATTCCAGACAGAAGGAGTAGCAGCTGCAAAGGTCCTGAGGCAGTGAGTGACATGGTTGCCCGCGGGCAGGCTGGGGTGGCTGGAACAGTTTGGGCCAGGGGAGGGTGTGGGGACATGAGGTCAGGGAGGGATGGGGACAGAACACGGAGGGTCTTGCAGGCCACGTGGAAGGGGCTTGGCGTTTGACCTGAGTGACATGGAGCCACGGGAGGGCATGGAGCAGAGATGGGGCAGGATCTAAATTGGGCGTTCCCGGGTCTCTGTGGCTGCGTGTGGGGAGCAGCCTGCGACGAGCAGGGAGGAGCTGCTGTCGTGGTCCAGGCGGAGACGAGGGGGCGGGAGCAGGGTGGGGGGCGGAGAGGGTGAGAAGAGGGCGGTTCCGGATAGATGATCTGAAATGGAGCAGACCGGGCTTGCTGGCAGAGTGGATGTGGTGTGAGAGAAAGAGAGGGGTTGAGGATGATGCCGTGCCTTGAAGCCCGGAGGATAGACTTGCCTTGAGTGGGAGCAGTCTTGGGGAAGGCACAGTAGTTCAATCCTGGATACTTCGGTGTGAGATTCGCAGGAGACATCCAGACGCAGGCGTCGGGGAGGCCCTTGAGTAAGGAATCCCGAATTCAGTGGAGAGGGCAGGCTGGAGGGAGAACTTTGGGTATTAATCAGCCTAGAGCTGCGAGGCTGGAAGAGCACCTAAGGCAGGGTGTGGATAGAGAACTGTGGGACTGAGACTGAAACCCCTTGGCGTTGAGCCAAAGTGAGAAACCGGGGAAGGCGGGGAGGTGCAGAGGCGGGGCCAGGGGAGGCGGAGCTCAGGCGAGGAGGCGGGGCCCAGGCCAGGGTGATGAGCCTGAGAACTGACTATATAGGGTTAAGCCTCCCAGAGGTCTCGAGGGTTCAGGAGAAAAGGGTGAGGCAGAATTGAGGAGCTGTGTGAACAGTTCATTTGGAGCATTTTACTTTAAAGTGAAAGAGGAGAGGGGTGTGCAGTTGAGAAAGAGTTTTGTTTTTCACTTGGAGGATACAGGAGCTACCATTTCCTGAGCACTCGCCACATCTAGGTTCATTCTAAGTGGTTTGATGCAAATGAATTTACTGGATCCCGCAACAGCTCCCTGGGGGTGGACCTGTCCTCCCCCCATCCCACTGCCATTTTTGTTTTTTGGTTTTTGGTTTTTTTTTGAGACAGAGTTTCACTCTTGTTACCCTGGCTGGAGTGCAATGGTGCTATCTCAGCTCACTGCCACCTCTACCTCCCGGGTTCTAGTGATTCTCCAGCCTCAGCCTCCCGAGTAGCTGGGGTTACAGGTGTGCGCCACCACACCCGGCTAATTTTGTATTTTTAGTAGAGACAGGGTTTCACAATGTTAGGCTGGTCTCAAACTCCTGGCCTCAAGTGATCTGTCCGCCTGAGCCTCCCAAAGTGCAGGGATTACAGGCATGAGCCACTGTGCCTGGCCCCTGTCCTCCCCCTTTTACAGATGAGGCAGCTGAGGCCCAGAGTCACACAGCTGATGAGAGATGCAGCCTGGATCAGAGCCCAGGAAGCCTGGATCAAGGCTCATGTCTCTTGAGTGAGGGGCTCTGCCCTCCTCCATCCTGTTCTTTTTAGTGTCATCTTTCATGACCTAGATGGAGACATTCAAATAGGGGGATGACACAGAGCTTGGAGGGAGAGACGTGTCAGGAGACAGAAACAGTGTCCCGGGAGATATCAGCAGGCGAGTGTGCTGAGCTCTCGCTGAGAGCCAGAGGGGATTCTGAAAACTAGACTGATGATTAAAACTGCTTAAAACCTCAGCAGCCTCCCATGCTCCCGGGATTAATGATGCAGGCTCACATTGACTACGCACGTTTTACACCAGGCGCCGTGTTCTTTGCCCAAACTCCCGCTCAGACCCTGGATGATCTGTCCCTCACCTCTGCCCTCGTTCCCGTCCACTCTCTCCTCCTCGCTCTGTTCCAGCCACACTGGCCTCTTGCTCCTCCTCACACTCTCCACATCGAGGCACACCCCAGGGCCTTTGCACTGGCTCTCAATGCTGCCTGCAGTGAGCTCCCTCCAGATCTTGTGGGGTGCAGCTCACGAGGACTCGCTCTAATGCCACCCCGTCACACAGGTCCTCCTGGCCTTCAGTAGCCCAGGCTGTCATTCCATGTCGCTGTACTCTGTTCCACATCCTGTGTCCCCCATGGGAAATAGGTTCTGCCATCTTGGTCACAAGGCACTTGTAACGTGCCCGGCACACAGGGCATGCTCCATCCTGAACATAAGACGCGTGGATCTCGTTTGATTCTCACGGCGAACCCAATAAGTAGATACTATAAGGCCCCCACTTTTCAGTGTGCCCCAAGTTGGGCCCTGCTGAACCCTGTTACCCTCCTCAACAATCACCCGTGCACACTTCTTCCTCTGCCATGAACCCCCCAAACCCACACCCCCACTCTAGGCTCACTCCTGCCCACCCATGTTAATTTGCTGGGGCAGCCGCAACAAAGTACCACACCCTAAGTGGCTTAAACTACAGAAATGTACCGTCTCACCATTGTGGAGGCCAGAAGTCCAAGGTCCAGGCGTTGACAGGGTGGTTCCCTCCAAGGGCGGTGAGGGAGAACCTGTTCCTGGCCTCCCTCCTAGCAGCCAGTGGGCGCCAACACGTAGATGCATCACCCCCGTCTCCGCCTCCTCTTCGCATGACGTTCTCCCTGCGTCTGTGCCCACATTTCCCCTTTCTGTAAGGACACCAATCTAACGGAATTAGGGTCTACCTGATTTACTTGATTGCCTCTGGAAAGACTCTGTCTCCAAATGAGGTCACATTTGGAGATGCTGGGGCTTAGGACTTTAATGTAGCTTTTTGTGGGGGCCCAGTTCAACCCATAGCACCACTCCTTGGGTATCAACACAGACACGTCTTTCTTGGAGTTCTCTGAACCCCCACACCAGGCTCAGCCCACCCCCAGCACCTGTCCCAGGGAACAGCGAATGCCACTCCCATGGCAGCTTGCTTCCTCTCTGTCACCCCCACGGGGCCCAGAACAGAGACATCCTGAACCTCACCCAGACCACACACTTAGCAGGAGCTCAGAAGATATACCTGGAGAGACAACAGCCCTATGCAACAGCAAGAGCTTTCCCAGTGACGAAATCCAGAGGTGGCTTGTATGTGTGTGTGTTTGTGTAAACATGTGTAAACTAAACATACAAAATATCAGGGGGGACACAAATGAAATCGCTTCATAGTTCCTTTTAATATTTATTTATTTATTTATTTATTTATTTATCTATCTATGTATTTATTTATTTTTGAGACAAAGTGTCGCTCTGTTGCCCAGGCCGGAGTGCAGTGGCACGATCTCGGCTCACTGCAACCTCCACCTCCCAGGTTCAAGCACTTCTTCTGCCTCAGCCTCCCAAGTAGGTGGGACTACCTGCGCACACCACCACTCCTGGCTAATTTTTGTTTTGTTTTGTTTTGTTCTTCTTAATTTTTGTGTTTTTAATAGAGACGAGGTTTCACCATGTTAGTCAGGCTGGTCTCGAACTCCTGACCTCAGGCAATCCACCCCCCTCGGCCTCCCAAAGTGCTGGGATTACAGTCATGAGCCACTGCACTCGGCCCCTTTTAATATTTATTTAGTTGCAGATACATTTTAAAAATTACAACCAGAGCCGGTTGTGGTACGGTGGCTCATGCCTATAATCCCAGCACTTTGGGAGGCCGAGGCAGGCGGATCACCTGAGGTTGGGAGTTCAAGACCACTCTGACCAGCATGGAGAAACCCCGTCTCTACTAAAAATACAAAATTAGCCAGACGTGGTGGCGCATGCTTGTAATCTGTTCCACATCCCGTGTCCAGCTACTCGGGAGGCTGAGGCAGGAGAATTGCTTGAACCCAGGAGACGGAGGTTGCAGTGAACCAAGATCATGCCATTGCACTCCAGCCTGGGCAACAAGAGCTAAACTCTATCTCAAAAAAAAAAAAAAAAAAAATCACAACCAGATGCAGTGGCTCACACCTGTACTCCCAGCACTTTGGAAGGCCGAGGCGGGGGAATCGCTTGAGCCTAGAAGTTGGAAGCCAATCTGGGCAACAACATAGTGAGGTACCATCTGTATGAAAATATTTTTTCGGCCAGGCGTGGTGGCTCACGCCTATAATCCCAGCACTTTGGGAGGCCGGAATGGGTGGATCACCTGAGGTCAGGAGTTTGAGACCAGCCTGGCCAACATGGTGAAACCCCATCTCTACTAAAACTACAAAAATTAACTGGGTGTGGTGGCGCATGCCTGTAATCCCAGCTACTCAGGAAGCTGAGGCTGGAGAATGGCTTGAACCCGGGAGGCGGAGGTTGCAGTGAGCCGAGATCGCGCCATTGCACTTCAGCCTAGGCAACAAGAGCGAAACTCTTTCTCAAAAGAAAGACAAAAGAGAAAAAGATTTTTTTTCAAGGCGGGTAGATCACCTGAGGTCAGGAGTTCAAGACCAGCCTGGCCAACATAGTGAAACCCCATCTCTACAAAAATACAAAAATTAGCCAAGTATGATGGCGAGTGCCTGTAGTCCCAACTATTGGGAGGCTGAGGTGGGAGAATCACTTGTACCCATGAGGCAGAGGTTTCAGTGAGCTGAGATCATGCCACTGCACTCTAGTCTGGGTGACAGAGTGAGACTGTCTCAAAAAAAAAAAAAACAAATTGCATATATAAAATATTAGCTTAGAATTATTACTTTTGTTCATACATTCCCCTTGTATGTGCTGTAACTCACTAAGCATTTTGGAGATAGTGTCTTTGTTATTATGAGAGGCACTTTTGAGTCACTTCACTTCTAACTCAATTATTTTAGATTAAACATGTTTTGTTGTCGTTGTTTTTGTGACAGGGTTTCACTCTGTTGCCCAAGCTGGAGCACAGTGGCATGATCACAGTTCACTGCAGCCTCTGCCTCCCGGTACAAGTGATTCTCGTGCCTCAGCCTCCCAAGTAGCTGGGACTATAGGCGCCCACCACCATGCCTGGCTAATTTTTGTATTTTTAGTAGAGAAGGGGTTTTACCATGCTGGCCAGTCTGATCTTGAACTCCTGACCTCAAGTGATCCACCTGCCTTAGCCTCCAAAGTGCTAGCATTACAGGCGTTGAGCTACCACGCCAGGCCCAAAATTCAAATTTACACAACAGAGGCAAATCAGAGATGATGTCCAGTGCCGTCAGTCAGAACCTGGAGGCTGTTTTCTTCATTGAGGTTTTGAAAGGTAAAACATGCACAAGGTAAAAACCAAACTACTACAAAAGGGTTTGCAATAGAAAGAGCTTCTCTCCCTTCCCTGGCCCTCAGCCATCCTGCTCCCTCCTCGAAAGCAACCGTTGTTTCATTTCTATATTCTTCCAGAAATGTTCCAAATATGAGTGCACATGATTGTGAGGGCTTCCCTTGCACCCGTCTTATTAATGTGGTCACCTCCTGCATATGAACTGCTTCCTCACTTGCTCTTTCTCTTCAAGTCTTTTTGTTTTTGAGACAGGTTCTGACTCTGTCACCCAGGCTGGAGTGCAGTGGCGCCATCATAGCTCACTGCAGCCTCAACTTCCCAAGCTCAAGCAGTCTCCTGTCTCAGTAGCTGGTCCCATAGGAGTACACCACCACACCCACCTAGTTTTTCACTTTTTGTGGAGGTGAGATCTCAGATCTCACTATGTTACCCAGGCCGGTCTCACACTCCACACTCCTGGGCTCGAGTGATCCTCCCACTTATGCCTCCGAAAGTGCTGGGATTACAGGCATGAGCCACCATGTCCGACCTAAGTTTCTTGGCAGTAGTTCCATATCAGTGTGTAGAAAGTGATGTCATTCTTGGCCGGGTGTGGTGGCCCATGCCTGTAATCCCAGCACTTTGGGAGGCCGAGACGGGCGGACCACCCGAGGTCAGGAGTTCAAGATCAGTCTGGCCAACATGGTGAAACCTTGTCTCTACTAAAAATACAAAAATTAGCCAGGCTTGGTGGCGGGCGCCTATAATCCCAGCTACTCGGGAAGCTGAGGCAGGGGAATTGCTTTAACCTGGGAGGCGGAGGTTGCAGTGAGGCAAGATCGCACCACTGCACTCCAGCCTGGGCGACAGAGTGAGACCTTGTCTCAAAAAAAAAAAGAAAAAAAGAAAAAGAAAGTGAATTCCTCACGTATCCAGTATTAGAAAGGAAAGTTTGGTAAACTCCAGTGTACCAAGCTGAGCTCTGTGTGAGTTTTCTAAAAATGGTTTCATGCTATCCATACTTCTGTTTTCCACATGATGTCATATCTGGGAGAGCCTCTGCACGCTGTGTGGATCTGGGCTGCTGTCTGCTCTGCAGGCAGGACCCTGGGAAGTGTCCGTGTACACGTGGCACTGTGGACTCATGTGAGCCTTTGTGAAGGACGCATTTCCAGAACTAGGCCTGCTAGTGCAAAGAGCAAGCACATTTTATTCATGCTTCCAGGAGGTCTTAGCACGCCCATCTTGAGCAGAGCCTGTGGGCAGTGCACTGGCTGGGGGGCGTGCTGAAGGCCAGGCCGGCTTCGTCACTGCCGGGAGATGGGCACCATGAGCCCTGCAGAGTCACACTCCCCTGTGCAGGGCATTCTGGGAAATGTTGAAATCAAAAGGGGTGGGGGAGTCCCCTTTTGATTTGTGTCTGTCTCTCTTTCTCTTTGTCTCTCTCTCTCTTTCTCTCTTTTGGATCTAAAGCTTTTAATTTGCCCAGAGAATATACTTCCCTGATATTGACAGACCCAGCATTAACCTAGACCTGGATTTCCAATCTGGGGAGGAATATGACCTGACAGGGAAGAAATCTGGCCCTGCTCTTGCCCTTCCTTTGTTAAAATCCCAAGGCTGGCAGCTGAGAAAGAGAAAAAGGAAATCCATTCGTTAAAACCCTCAGGAACCCAAGACATCTTATTTCTTCCCCGGGTTCAAAGACTATTTTTCTTTCTTGTGTTACAGAATGAAGAATTCCAGGCATCAGCTTTTATTAAGCTAATTTTTATTATTTTTATTGTTATAACACATGATTATGTTTAAGTAAATTCAGACAGTTCAGAAGGATATCAGATAAAAAGGAAAAGTCCTATTTTTCTACCTAATAAGATTCCTACCTCCCAGAGGTTATCATGGTTCATAATTTCTTCCAGAAATTGTTATCTGCAGACAGAAGCATATTTTTAAATCCAATGTGGCTGTTCCCCACACCATACGTGTTTTTTCCTGCCATCTCTGATATACACGTGACAGTCAAGCTTGGCAGTGGCGTGGGTAGGCTCTGCAGCCTGGCGGCCTTGATTTGAATCCTGACTCCTTCACTCACAGGCTGTGTGACTTGGGACAAGTGGCTAAACTCCTCTGTACCTTAATAGCCTCATCCTTGAGATGGGATACCAATAGTCCTTAACACATATGGCAGTGGTGGGGATCAAATGAATTTATAAGCTGGGCACAGTGGCTCATGCCTGTAATCCCAGGAGTTTGGGACCAGCCTGGGCAACATAGTGGGACCCCATCTTTACAAAAAAGTTAGCTGGGTGTAGTGGCATGCGCCTGTAGTCCTAGCTACTTGGGAGGCCGGGGTAGGAGGGTTACTCGAGCCCAGGAGGTTGAGGCTGCAGCGAGCTGTGATCACAACACTGCATTCCAGCCTGGGCAACAGAGGAGGCTCTGACTCAAAAAAAAAAAAAAAGAAAGAAATCCCCCGCCACCCACACACAAATGACTACATATATGTTCCAAGGGAAACCCAGGCCTTGCTCTGGTATGGTTCACATTCTGCTGGGTAGACTGACAATCAGCAAAGACACAGGCTGGGCACGGTGGCTCACACCTGTAATCCCAGCACTTTGGGAGGCCGAGGCCGGGGGATCACCTGAGGTCAGGAGTTCGAGACCAGCCTGACCAACATGGAGAAACCCCGTCTCTACTAAAAGTACAAAAATTAACTGGACGTGGTGGCGGGTGCCTGTAATCCCTGCTACTCCAGAGGCTGAGGCAGGAGAATAGCTTGAACCCAGGAGGCAGAGGTTTCAATGAGCCAAGATCACTGCACTCCAGCCTGGGCGACAGGGAAAACTCTGTCTTAAGCAAATAAAAAAAGCTTCTCCCCTCACACAGGAACTCTGTCTCTGTGCATGTGTTCAGCGTGGGCCTCCCCCACTGGCTGCCAACTCGGTGCTCACAGCCGTGTCCCCGGCACCTGGGACAGGACAGCACAGCAGGCTCCGTGTGGTTCTCGGGAAACGTTTGTGGAAGGAGGGAATGGATCCAAACCCTTCTCTGCCACACGTTCGCTGGGTGAAGGAGAGAAGGCTGTGGCCATGCGTCCCGTGGGAGCCGGCCCTCTTGAATCCTAACAGCTTTGAAAAGTGGCTTGAGCCGGGCACAGTGGCTCAAGCCTGTAATCCCAGCACTTTGGGAGGCCGAGACGGACGGATCACGAGGTCAGGAGATCAAGACCATCCTGGCTAACACGGTGAAACCCCGTCTCTACTAAAAAATACAGAAAACTAGCTGGGCGAGGTGGCGGGCGCCTGCAGTCCCAGCTACTCAGGAGGCTGAGGCAGGAGAATGGTGTAAACCTGGGAGGCGGAGCTTGCAGTGAGCCGAGATCCGGCCACTGCACTCCAGCCTGGGCGACAGAGCGAGGCTCCGCCTTGAAAAGAAAAAAAAAAGAAAAGTGGCTTGAGCCTCCCTGGCAGCCCCTGACCCTGACGCGCTCATTCCAGGCAGGTGGACACGAACACCAAAAACGTCTTTGGACAACCGAGGTTGAGAGCATCCCTCCGAGACCTCCGGTCGCCACGTAAGAACTACAAATCCACCATCGAGGATGACCTGAAGAAACTCATCATCATGGACAACCTGGGGCCAGAGCAGGAGAGAGACGCAGGAGTACGTAGCGCCCCATCCCCAGCTCCCGACCCCCCGCTTCCAGTGGGATCTCATCCGGGTGGGCGGGGAGAAGGACTGTGCTCCCCGCGGTCCCGTCGTGCCCCCAGCTTTCAGCATCTGCCAGTCCTGTTGAGGGGTGTGGGCTCGTGGCTGGGAGTGAGGGCAGCGCATTAGTCTGGGATGGAATCACAGGATGAGCCCAGGCAGGCACACAGGAATCTACCCCATACCGAGAACTTCGTGTAACTGGAGGGACCTGGGCCTCGTGCCCCCCTCCTCCAGCCCAGGATAGAAACAGACACATCCGCCCAAACTACAGGGACTGAGTGGAGCAGGGGCTCCCAGGGGAAGTTCAGGCTCTTGTTACTCAGGGAGGGGGGTGGAAAGAACAGTGGGCGCCAGGGAACCTCCGTGGCATCCGCTTCCCTTCCCCTCCCAGCCAGGCCTGCCCTGCTCATCCTCACTGCCAGGTAGGAGCTGTTTTGTGGGAACCGAAGTGGACCCCAGCCTCCCCAGGGTTGGGTCCCACCAGCCCACAGCTGGGGGAAGAGAGCACATCAGCCCAGCGCTACCCACTGGGGTCCCAGCACTGAGTCTTGTGGGTCCAGCTTGCCTCCCACCACCTTCCCCAACCCGTCAGGCTTTGATCACCAGCCCTTACCCAGAGCTGGAGGGTGGGTTTGGGGAGCGGGAGTCCCCAGGGGGAAATGGGAGCGCTTTGGTCAGAAAGGAGGCAGAAGGCCGAGGTGGTGGCTCACACCTGTAATCCCAGTACTTTGGGTGGCCAAGGTGAGAGGATCACTTGAGCCCAGGAGTTTTAAGACCAGCCTGGGCAATATAATGAGACCCCCATCTCTATAAAAAAATCTAAAAATTAGCCAAGTGTGGTGGCACACACCTGTGGTCCCAGCTAATTACCTGGGAAGCTGAGATAGGAGGATCTCTGAAGCCCAGGAGGTCGAGGTTGTAGTAAGCTGAGATCACCCCATTACACTCCAGCTTGGGTGACAGAGTGAGAACCTGTCTCTAAAAAAAAAGAAAGAAGGCCGGGCGCGGTGGCTCAAGCCTGTAATCCCAGCACTTTGGGAGGCCGAGACGGGTGGATCACGAGGTCAGGAGATCGAGACCAGCCTGGCTAACATGGTGAAACCCCGTCTCTACTAAAAAATACAAAAAACTAGCCGGGCGTGGTGGTGGGCGCCTGTAGTCCCAGCTACTCGGGAGGCTGAGGCAGGAGAATGGCGTGAACCCGGGAGGCGGAGCTTGCAGTGAGCTGAGATCCGGCCACTGCACTCCAGCCTGGGAGACAGAGCGAGACTCCGTCTCAAAAAAAAAAAAAAAAAAAGAAAGAAAGAAAGAAAGAAATCAGGCAGGAATGGATGCTGGGTAGGTAAGGACTCGCCACCGATGTCCTGGAGGGGAAGATGCCTCTGAGGACCCTGGCTACGAGCCAGTCCATGACCTCCCCCAACATCCCACCCACCCCCACAGCAGTCACCGCAGAAGGGCCTGCAGCGGACGCTGTCAGACGAGAGCCTGTGCAGCGGGCGCCGGGAGCCCAGCTTTGCCAGCCCCGCCGGCCTAGAGCCAGGGCTCCCCAGCGACGTGCTCTTCACCAGCACCTGCGCCTTCCCGTCCAGCACGCTGCCTGCACGCCGCCAGCACCAGCACCCCCACCCACCCGGCGGCCCCGGCGCCACCCCTGCCACTGGCAGCGGCTTCCCCGAGAAGAAATGTGAGCCTGGGCCCCCTGGGACTGGCGCGGTATTTACCCCAAGATTGGGAGGTGGGGATGTCCGAGCAGGGCCTCACCTGGAGGTCAAAGGCTAGAGGTCATCAGGGTCGGGGCCATCTCAGAGGAACGGGATTCGCAGGAACTTCGGGGGGCCTGATGGTGGGGCACCAGGTGTCACCCAAGGAGCGAGGGATTGTTGGCCAAGCATCAGAGGGTCACCTGGGAGTCAGGAGCACCGAAGGATTGGAGTCACCTGAGACCAGAGAGCAAGTCCACCCTCAGTTTACAGGCCTGGGGAGTGGGGCTGCCCCGCTACTGCCCAGCACCCCCCAACCCTCCCACCCGTTCCAGCACCAAGCGGTTTGCTTCATGAGCATTTTATTTGCTTCCCTGACTCCCCCTCTGTTTGCCACACTTGGGGGTGGTGCATGGTGTGACTTGTCCACTCCTTAATCACCCAGCAAATATTTACCAAGCATTCCCCTTAAACAGGTACTGCGCACACCACCCCCATCAAAAGCCACGAGCCAGCTGGGGTTGGCCATGCCCCAGATGCACCCTGTGACCCCTTATCCACCCCCTAAGCCCCCCACAACTGAAAGACAGTACGTAAGTTTGCACCATGCGCACTGGGTGGCAAACCTGGCCTGGAGGGACGTGAGGCTGTTTAGGGTCCATAGTCCCCCTACTTAGTACTAGCGATGAGGAGCTTGGGGCAGAGCGCTGGCGTGCCACTGCGTGTGGGGTGCCCCTGACCTTTCTGGCTGTGTTACATTATACACAGCATCTGCACACTTACTCTCTCAAATCCAAGCACATCTCAAATGCAGGGGCATGTGCTACTCCAAGGGTCTCAGCTGAGGGGCTATGCCTGCCTGTGCTATCTGTACAGAGCCTCTTGTGAGCTGTGGGGGATGGGGTGGAGGAGACTCTGCGACTTTTATGAAGGGCAGTGTGTCTCCCCCGTTAAAATTCCCCCACAGACTGGGCACGGTGGCTCATGCCTCCCAGCACTTTGGGAGGCCGAGGCAAGCAGATCACTTGAGGTCAGGAGTTCGAGACCAGCCTGGCCAACGTGGTGAAACCCCGTCTCTACTAAAGATACAAAAATTAGCTGGACATGGTGGCAGGTGCCTGTAATCCCAGCTACTCAGGAGGCTGAGGCAGGAGAATCACTTGAACCCAGGAGGCAGAGGTTGCGGTGAGCTGAGATCAAGCCACTGCACTCCAGCCTGGGTGACAGAGCCAGACTCCATCTCAAAAAAAAAAAAAAAAAAAAAAATTCCCCTGCAGCTCCCTGTTGCTTTGGCATTTGCATCTGCACTCTTTGCCCTGGTGGTGTGGGGCGCCCGCCCACCTCTGCTCCTCCACCTCGCAGAGCCTTCCTTTTGATCACTCAGCACACCAGACCTTCCCTGCTCAGGGCATCCTGCACGGCTGTTCCCTCCGCCCGCCATGCTCTTCCCTCAGTCGTCTTCTGGGTCACTCTTGTCCTTCAGGGCTGGCTCCATTCCTGCTCTTTCCTGGAAGGCTCCTCTAAGCCCTGGGCTGGGTCCCTGCCCCCATCTCAATTCCAGAGCTTCCCTGCCCTCCTCTGTGCTCCCTTCCTGTTCCTGCAGTGCCTGCTGTGGGCGGGGTGCTACTCTAGGTGCCAGGATGCGACCCTGAGCAAGGCAGAGCACATCCCTGCCCTCACGGGGCTGCCCACTCCAGTGGAAATTTCCCTGCTCCCCAGGCTTCCCTCCACGTTCCTTCCTCGGCCTCTCCTCCTTGCTGCTCTGTTTCTGCCTAAGGCAGGGCTGGTCACAAAGTAGACGTTCAGCCACTGCAAAGGAAGGGGACAGCAGCCACCGCAGAGAGGTGGTGACAGAGGACACAGGCACAGACTCCACAGGTCGATCTGAATTCCTCAGCTTGCTGTACCTCATTCTTTCCGTCTTGGCTCAGATGCCCCCTTCTCCAGGAAGCCCTCCCTCCCCCTACCAGGCTGAGTCAGGCACCTCCACGGGCCCCGTTGCCCACCCCGGGTTTCTCTCACCCCCTCCGTCCCCCTTCACTGCCTGAGCTGTCACTACATGAGAATATGTCTGTCTCTATCACAGTACTGGGGGCCCCCCAAAGATGGGGCCTGGGGTTGTCTCCATCACTGCTGTGACCCCAGCTCAGGGCCCTCTGCCTCACACAACACACACATACCCTTCTCTGTCCATCTGACTCCCCCACACCCCTGAGCTGGGGAGAGTCCCGTCTGGCCCCAGTGTGGCCAGGGTCCCTGGGCCTCCCCATTTCTCCAGTGCCTGCTCCAGAGCCCTTTCCAGGCCCCATCCCAGATGAAGAGACATGGTCATCTCTGGGCTGGGCTTCACTAACCAAGTGTCCTCCACACCAAGGAGCCTGTCACACGGTGCTGCTGATGCCCTGCTCAGCAATGACAGCCGCTCCCATGGCTCCCACTAGCTGAGCAGTGAGATGCCAGCAGGCTGGAGGCACAGAACAAGGAGGCCAGGGAAAGAGCAAGGAGGCCCAAGGTGGAGCATGGAGGTCAAGGGCAGAGCATGGAGATAAAGGGCAGAGCATGGAGGTCAAGGGTGGAGCAAGGAGGCCAAGGGCGGAGCATGGAGGTCAAGGGCGGAGCAAGGAGGCCAAGGGTGGGGCATGGAGGTCAAGGGTGGAGCAAAGAGGTCAAGGGCGGAGCATTGAGTTCAAGGGCAGACCAAGGAGGTCAAGGGTGGGGCATGGAGGTCAAGGGTGAGCAAGAAGGCCAAGAATGGAGCATGGAGGTCAAGGGCAGAGCAAGGAGGTTAAGGGCAGAGCATGGAGGTCAAGGGTGGAGCAAGGAGGCTAAGGGTGGAGCATTGAGGTCAAGGGCAGAGCTTGGAGGTCAAGGACAGAGCAAGGAGGCCAAGGGTGGAGCGTGGAGGTCTGGGGTGGAGAATGGAGGCCAAGAGCAGAGCATGGAGGTCAAGGGCAGAACAAGGAGGTCGAGGGTGGAACAAGGAGGTCAAGGGCAGAGCATGGAGGTCAAGGGCAGAGCATGGAGGTCGAGGGTGGAGCAAGGAGGCCAAGGGCAGAGCATGGAGGCCAAGGGCAGAGGATGGAGGCTGAGGGAGGAGCCAGGAGGCCGAGGACGGAGCATGGAGGCCAAGGACTCGTTCATTCACCCATTCAGCCAGCACTTACTGCACACCACATATCACAGAGCTGGACGGCCTGAGTTTATGTCCCACGTCTTCCACTCACAGATATAACCTCTCTGTGCCTCAGTTTCTTTGACTGTAAAATGAAAAAGTAGTGCCCACATCCCCAGGTTGAAAGAATTGAACGAGTGAATATATAGAAAGCACATAGCGCGCACCTCATACATAGTCGGCACTGAGAAGTACCAGCTGGAAGCCATGCGAGCCCAGGCAAGGCAGCACCTCGCTCGGGTCTCAGTTTTCCTCCTCCATGCGAGGAGATCGTGACACCCCCGCCCCTGCCAGGCTCACAGTGCAACTGCGAGATGATCTCCCTGGGCCCTGCGCAGAGGAGGTGCCAGGAACGCGGAGCGGACTGGGCCCATGGTCGGGCTCTGACGATTCCCAGCTAAGGGCCCTCAGGCGTGTCTCCTGGTCTCTCTGTACCTGCCTATCCTCCTCTGTCCTCTTCCCTTAGGGGCTTCAGGGAGTCACGGAGCCCCAGGCCAGAGCTTGAGCCTGGTGCCGGGGACTCTCGATAGCCACAGCAGGTGCGAGAGCAGTGCTGACGCCGTTGCTTCTCACCTCCAACCCCTGAGATGTCACAGGCCTCTCCTGTGCTCAGCGTATCATACCCGAACACCCCTCAACGGCAACCCCACCGCGTCTAAACACTGTCCCTACACTGGCGATTCTGACTACAGGTGCAGCTGGGACTCTATTTGTTGCCAGCTCCTATGGCCAGCCCCCCTTCCACCGTCTCCTTGGGGTGTCCAGGGCCAACTCCACTAAGCACCTCCAGAAACAGATTTCTGATCCCCCACCCGAGCCTTCCTGATCAGAGCTGCAATCCTGGCCCTTCTCTTTGTTTCACAGCCATATCCATCCCTCAGGAAATCCTATTGGCTGCCCCTGAAAAGTAGGCCCAGAATCTGCCCCCGGGTCCTACCATGGCCCCACCCTGGTCCTGCGCAGTGTCACTGTCTCTCTTGTGGGTCATGGTTACAGCTCCTACCTGCTCCCTGCCTCCCCTCAAATGCCCCCACACGCACACAGTCCATCCCCCACATGCACCCAGAGGGAGCCTTCCAGGGCTCCATTGCACTCAGGGTGAGAACACAGTCACCATTGGGGCCGACAGGACCCACATGGTGCGGCCGTGTTGCCTCTGTCCCCGCCTCCTGCTGCTTCCTCCCTTGCTCACCCTCACCCAGCCATAGGGGCCACCTCCGTGTTCCTTAAACCTTCCAGGCGCACTCCTGCCTCAGGGATTTAGCACTGGCTGTTCTGTCTGCCTGGAATGTTCCTCCCCCAGGTGTCCCCCGGCGCACTCCCTCCTCCCTGTCAGAGTTTTGTCCAGATGACGTCTCTGCCAGGCCTGGCCCAGCACCTTGTTTAAAGTCAGGCCTCTGTAGACTCCAGCGCTCCCAGACCCCTTACCCTGCTGGAGGTTGTCCCGGACACATAGCGTCTCTGCATAAGCAATGCAATGTCTTCATGTGTATGTGTCCCCCGCATTGTCATGCTCAACCACTGCCATCTCCACCCTCCCCATCCAGCCACCATCTCAGCCTCGGAGCTCTCGCTGGCTGATGGGCGGGACCGCCCCCTGCGGCGCCTGGACCCTGGGATGATGCCCCTGCCTGACACGGCTGCTGGCCTCGAGTGGTCCAGCCTGGTGAATGCAGCTAAGGCATACGAAGGTAGGCGCCTTCCACCCAGTCCCGCTGGGCCCCCACGCCCTCCTCTGTTCTAGAGGGAGTTATGGAGGGCCTCGTGGCTTTGCAGGGATACCCACTTAGGTTCCAGAATCAGGGAGCGGGGTTCGAGTCCTGCCCCATCACTTGCTTACCATGCAGCCCTGGGCAAGTGTCTTCATCTCTTTGATGCGAGTTACCATGTTGACCGACAAGTAAAAGTCACCATGCTTGAGGCTGCCATGACAATTACACAAAACACCGCATGGAAAATACGTGAGGCCAAGCACAGTGGTTCACACCTGTAATCCTAGCACTCTGAGAGTCTGAGGCAAGAGGATCACTTGAGGCCAGGAGTTTGAGACCAGCCTGGGCCACATAGTAAGACCCAATCTCTACAAAAGAGAAAAACATAAGTGACACATGGCGGTGCACACCTGTAGTCCCAGCCACTCTGGAGGCTGAGGCAGGAGGATCGCTTGAGCCCAGGAGAGGGAGGCTGTGTGGTGAGCTGTGATCACACCAATGTACTCCAACCTGGGCGACAGTGCAAGACCCCGTGTCTGGGGAAACAAACAAACAAACAAAAAAATCTGTGTCCCTGAGGACATTTGGATTTTCAGCCCCAGATTTGGGAGCCAGAAGAGGGAATGAAGACTTTTAGTGCCCTTGGGGACAGGGGGCCGGGCAGCTGGGGGCGTCTCCTCTCTCATGTGGGTCTCCAGGCATCCTGGGGCCAGGATGGCCAGTTCCGGGATAGTGGGAAGTGAGGAAGGCCTCAGGTCTCTCCCTGGAGACCCAGATGCCATCGGCGGTTGTAGTGTTGTCTGCAGAAGGCAGAGCTGCCCAGACACCGACCCTACCAACCATAGGCCACAGGAAAGGGCTTGGGCAGCCAAAGCCCCTACCCACTCCCAGCTGCTCCATGCACCTGGCGTGCCTGGGGGCCGTGCAGCCCATGTGAGAAAGCCGAAGGAGCCTGGCTGGTGGCACTGATTTCTCTCCCAGGCTGTGCGTCACAGTCGCCTAGGGAGCTTTTTCCTTCCTTATAAAATTAATAGATGAACCACAGAAGGTTATGGGGGAGGGGTGGCAGTAGCAGAAAGACCCGGGAGGAAGCGGTGGCTCCCCGGAGCCGGAAAGGGGCTGGCAGGGAGTGCAGGTCAGAGTGGTTTCAGCTTGCCGGGAGGTGTGGAGGTTTTAATGGAGAGAGAGAGAGAGAGAGAGAGAGAGAGATGTTTTCCCATGCAATTCACATGAGTGGAAAAGGCTAAAGGAATTCTCGTTAACTTTGGTAGGTGTGTTCATAGCATAGTAGTTTTCTTCCGCTATATATATATATATATGTTTTATCCACTAGAGCTACTTAGTGAAATTTCTACAGATGAAATACAAAGATGTCTGGAATTTGATTTAAAATATTCCAGGTTGCCGGGCGCGGTGGCTCACGCCTGTAATCCCAGCACTTTGGGAGGCCGAGGCGGGCGGATCACAAGGTTGGGAGATCGAGACCACGGTGAAACCCTGTCTCTACTAAAAATACAAAAAATTAGCCGGGCGTGGTTGTGGGCGCCTGTAGTCCCAGCTACTCTGGAGGCTGAGCCAGGAGAACGGCGTGAACCCAGGAGGCGGAGCTTGCAGTGAGCCGAGATCGCGCCACTGCACTCCAGCCTGGGCGACAGAGCGAGACTCCGTCTCAAAAAAAAAAAAAATTACAGGTTGGGTGCAGTGGTTCACACCTATAACCCCAACACTTTGGGAGGTCAAGGTGGGAGGATGGCTTAAGGCCGGGAATTCAAGCAGCCTGGGCAACATAGCGAGACCCCGTCACTACCAAAAATTTTGTTTTACTTATTTATTTTTTAGAGTCTCACTCTGTCACCCAGGCTGGAGTTCAGTGGGATGATCTTGGCTCACTGCAACCTCCACCTCTCAGGTTCAAGCGATTCTCCTGCCTCAGCCTCCTGAGTACCTGGGATTATAGGCGCTAATTTTAAAATTCGCCAGGCGTGGTATTACACACCTGTAGTCCAAGCTCCTTGGGAGGTTGAAGCAGGAGGATCGCTGGAGCCCAGGAGTTCTAGACTGGAGTGTGCTGTTCCAATCCGGTGTCTTCACTAAACTCAGTATCAATATGGTGACCTCCAGGGAGCCAGGGACCACAGGTTTCCTAAGGACAGGTGTGCTGGCCCAGGTCAGAAATGGAGCAGGTCAGAACTCCCACGCTGATCAGTAATGGACTCGGGCCTGTGAAGAGCCACTGCACTCTAGCATGGGCAACATAGCAAGACCCTGTCTCTTAAAACACAGATGTCAAAGTGAATATACATTAAATCCAAGATAGAAAAATATAACTATAAAGGGTATTATTCAGAGAATCGGAGAACATTTGCAGATGACTGTATATTAGAGAATATCGTGGCCAGGCGTGGTGGCTCATGCCTGTAATCCAGCACTTTGGGAGGCTGAGGCGGGCAGATCACCTGAGGTCAGGAGTTCGAGACCAGCCTGACCAACATGGAGAAACCCCATCTCTACTAAAAATATAAAATTAGCTGGGTGTGGTGGCACAGGCCTGTAATCCCAGCTACTTGGGAGACTGAGACAGGAGAATCGCTTGAACCTAGGAGGCGGAGGTTGCATTGAGCCAAGATCGTGCCATTGCACTCCAGCCTGGGCAACAAGAGTGAAACTCCATCTCAAAAAAAAAAAAAAAGAAAGTAAATGGGCAAAATGTTAACAATGGGTGGTGCCAGGGAAGGAGTGTTGGGGTTTTTACTGTGCTATTCTTGAGGCACAGAAATGGAAGTTGGGGAGCTGCTTGCCTCTGGGGCTCGCCCTCTGCCCTGCTCCTGGCAGTGCCGCCCTCGACACACGGCACACTGGGATGCCTTCGTGTTCTTAACACCCCCAAGGATTCCATTGTCTGGCTGTTCGTAGCTCACTGAACCAGCCACTATTGGAGGACACTGGGGCGGTGGCCAGCTGTTGCCATTACAGGAAGAAAATCTAACAGTCACGTTTGAAAACGCAGATGGCTCAGGTACCCCCAGTGCCAGTCACATGTCCAAGGCGGAACCCAGGAATCTTCACTTTCACTGGCAACCCCGTGCGATTTCTTTTCTCTCTTCAATATGCATGATGTGATCTGTCTCACTTCTTTTTGCTTTTGAAATCTTCCCGGCTTCCTCCGAAGGAAAGCGAATCGTATAACGAATCCCCGTGGACCTGGCGCCAGCCTGTCCACTTTGGACCCCTTTTTTCCTACCTTGTACTTGTGGACCAAATCCAGTCATTTATGTTGAGAGCATGCCAGGTTCAGAATCCAGTCGGGTGCTGCCTCGCACTCTCATCTAACTGCCTTCTCCAGCCCTTGTATTTTGTATGAACTAGTCATCGGATCAAAAGCCTCGATTGGAATCAGGATGGGATTTTGTGTTCTTGTTTTGTGTGTTCATTTGGTCAGTGTTTTGGCGAGAATCTATCCAAGTGCCGATGCAGTCTTTCCCAAGAGGGATGGGAAGTGTCGTGGAGGTTTGCAGGGAGAGGCATCGTCCATCAATTGAGGGAGAAGCTGGGAGCCTTACTGACCCTCTCCTCCTCCTCCCTCCCTGGCAGTGCAAAGAGCCGTCTCACTCTTCTCTCTGAACGACCCGGCCCTGAGCCCGGACATCCCACCTGCACACAGTCCTGTCCACAGCCACCTGAGCCTGGAGAGGGGACCCCCGACCCCCAGGACCACCCCTACCATGAGGTGAGCTTTCCCTGGGAACACCCGGGTTCATACCAGCGGCAGGTCTGTGCAGTGGAAGAGGCTCCTCCAGAGAGAGGCAGCCACTGCAGGTCACCCCCACCACTCTTCGGGCAGAAGCTGATACAGCAGCTGCTCCCCTCTCCTAACAAGAGTTGGAAGTCATTACACCGCACCTGCCTATGCACTGGGGATCCACAGTGACTAAGACAGACTCTGCCCAGTCCCAACAGATCTCCCGGTCCAGCGGAGACAACAGTGAAATCAATACGCACACAGTTGTTTCACTTCCAACTTGGAAAACTGCTAAGCAGGTTGGGCACAGTGGCTCACACCTGTAATCCCAGAACTTTGGGAGGCCAAGGTGGGTGGGTCACTTGAGGTCAGGAATTCAAGACTAACCTGGCCAACGTGGTGAAACCCCGTCTCTACTAAAAATACAAAAATTAGCCGGGTGTGGTGGCAGGCGCCTGTAATCCCAGCTACTCGAGAGGCTGAGGCAGGAGAATCACTTGAATCTGGGAGGTGGACGTTGCAGTGAGCTGAGATCACGCCACTGCACTCCAGCCTGGGCCACAGAGCAAGACTCCATCTCAAAAAAAGAAAAAAAGAAAGGAAAGCTGCTCAGCAGTGTCTCCCAATCCCCCAGCCCTGTGCCTCTCGCCAGCCCCATCGCTGCCAGTCTCCCGCCTATCTGCTCCTTCGTCTCCTCCTCTGCAGGTTCCTAAACTTCACAGACTTCTGCTTCATGCTCAGCCTTCCCAGCCTCCCTGCCAGGTGCCGTGCTGGGCTATCTGAGGACCCAGTGGCAATTGAGGCCAGGCCTGGCCCTCAGGAGGCTTCACGGGGGAAGGAAGAGGACGGAGACAGATCTCTCACATTTGTCATCTCACGCGTGGCTTCTCACATTCAGCGCAGCATATTTGACTGCACTCACTTGGCAGAAAACAAAATTAAAAAGAGGCAGAGAGAATGTAAATGGCACATTCTGCCTGTACATGGATTTAAATAGTGCATTTCACACTCGTCTGCACACCTCACGGTGCAGGGTTCTATATACAACCATCCGTGCACTGTACTTCATGGGCAGTGGGAGCAATTTTTGAGGGTAATTTTGACTTCTTGCTTCTCACACTCTGGCTTCAGAACTCAACCTCCACCACGAACGTAGGCCCCACTGTAATGACAAGAAATCGGCAGTTCCAGATGGTGCTGCCAGGCTCAGGGGCAGGAGCAGCCTGGGCTGTGGGAAGCAGTGGGACCTGTGGCCCCTGGGCGGCACTCCTGGAGTCCATTTGCCCCCATCTCCCTCTGCAGCTGCCGATTCGCAGGACTCAGCAGCAAGGTTGTAGGAAAGGGTGGGCAAGGCAGGAGGGCCAGCCCCGACCGCCACCACCTGTGCACCCGCAGCGTCCAACAGAGCCTCCTTCAGCCCCAACTCCAAGCAGGAAGGAGCTGTGCGTTCTCTGCAGGGGCCAGGCAGGCCCAGGGCTGGGAGGATCTGCAGAGGGGCAGCTACTGGCCGTGGGTCCCTGACTCAAATCCTAGCAGCAGCACGTGGGTGGGCGATACTGCCTGCATATCCTCCGCTGGCTAGCGGGTAACTCTGCAGCACATCCGAAGGCCACAGTGGGCAGAGGAGCTCTGTGAGATGAGCCGGGCAGCCTGGGGCTTGGTGCGGGTTGGCTCTCCGTGATGGGCACATGGTCAGCATCACTGACAGGACCGTTGTTGGTCCTGCCCACGAGGGCGGGCCCTTTTGACCATCTGTCCGTTCTCGTGCTTCCTGTGCCTGGAATGGTGCCTGGACCCGCCAGGTGCTCAGCAGGCACAGCAGGCATCTGTGGAGGGGGCTCTTTGTGTCCTGGAGGTACGAAGAAAGGGTGCTCCCTGAAGTCACATGCACGGCCCAGCCTCAGGGAAAACACACACTTCAGGGCGGGCACCCACCCTTCCCCTGGCCTGGTGCTCCCAACACTCCATCCACATCCACCGAGGTGCCCCTGCTGGGTGGAGTATGCCGGTGGAGGGCTGAGTTCCTGCTTCCCCTGGGAGCTTCTCCTCAGGCTTCGCCAGAATGTCAGCGTTAAGGGGGCCCGTACCCCCAGGCTCCTCAGCTGTGGGCCAGAAGCCCTCCTCAGGGGCTCTGGGGCCTCAGGCTGACCTTGTCCCTGTCTTTCCAGTGAGGAGCCGCCCCTGGATCTGACAGGCAAGGTGTACCAGCTGGAGGTGATGCTGAAACAGTTGCACACTGACCTGCAGAAGGTAACGCTGGGGGCCACGCCCTCTCCATCCCACTTCCCAGACACTGGGCAGGGTGGTCAGCAGGGATCAGGCACCTGCCCCAGCCATGCAGCACCCACCCCACCCCCACACCTCTGGTGCTTGAGTGCAGTCATGGGTGAAGAGTAAACAGTGATAACACCCAAGGCTAGCAAGCACTCAGAGAAACTCATCCATTCTTGGGGGGAGAATAATCGGCCCAGGCTTTTCGGGGGCAGTTGGACAACATTTATCAAAAATGTAATTGTGGCCAGGCGCGGTGGCTCATGCCTGTAATCCCAGCACTTTGGGAGGCCAAGGGGGGTGGGTTGCCTGAGATCAGGAGTTCGAGACCAGCCTGGCCAACATGGTGAAACCCCATCTCTATTAAAAAGTATAATAATTAGCCAGGTGTGGTGGCGGGCGCCTGTAATCCTAGCTACTTAGGAGGCTGAGGCAGGAGAATCACTTGAACCCGGGAACGCGGAGATTGCAGTGAGCTGAGATCATGCCACTGGACTCCAGCCTGGGCAACAGAGTGAGACTCCGTCTCACAAAAAAGAAAAAAAAATGTTGACCCAGTAATTCCACTTGTGGGAATTTATCCATGACAGCGTGAGTACAAAGAGATTGTGAACAAGGACGTTCATTGCCACACTATTGGCAATAAAAAATTGGAGCCAGCGTGGCTGTCACTCAGCAGGAGAATGGCGGTGTAAATTACAGGGCGCCCATGCAGCGGAACAGCGTGCAGCCAGTTAAAGTAATAACAAATCTATATATTTACTAACACGCAAAAGAAATCCAGTAACTTACGTAAAAACCAAAGCAAGCTGCAGTACTGTTGCCTAGAACATCATCATACTTACTTATTTATTGTTTAACCACCACGGTTGAGAGGGCCATCTAGAAGGTGACAGTCAGTTTATTCTTTGGACTTGTCTCCATGGGGCGGGAGGATGAGGAGGAGACTGGCCAGGCGCGGTGGCTCACACCTCTAATCCCAGCACTTTGGGAGGCCGAGGCGGGTAGATCACCTGAGGTCAGGAGTTTGAGACCAGCCTGACCAACATGGTGAAACCCCATCTCTACTAAAAATACAAAATTAGCCGGGCTTGATGGCACACTCCTGTAATCCCAGCTACTTGGGAGGCTGAGGCAGGAGAATTGCTAGATCCTGGGAGGCAGAGGTTGCAGTGAGCCGAGGGCGACAAGAGCGAAACTCAATCTCAAAAAAAAAAAGAAAAATGAGGAGGAGACTTTTATCTATTGTTTCTATACTTCTGCGTAAAAGTCAGAAAGGTGGCAGAGCATGTAATGCATAAGTCCTCGAGCTGTGGAATCAAAGGGACCCAGGTTCTGACCTCCGCCCCACCGCATAATGCTGTGTGACCTAAGACAAGTCCCTGCCTCCGGGGGCTACGTCCTCCTGGAAGAATGGGGTCTGCTCAGGCCACCCTGCCTCCATGTCTCAGCTCCCCACTTGCTGTGTGAGGCTGGGGTCCTCTTCTAGGAAACTGGGGATAGCGACAGTCCCCAAGTCCTCAGGTAGTGTGAGGGTGGGATGCGGTGGCCACAACAGTGCTGTTTGTCAGGCGGTGACTCCACCTCGGGCTGCATTCCATGAGCTCTATATAGATGAGCTCCAGGCAACCCTCAGCCCCCTGGTAGGGTTGCGGGAACCGAGTGACTTGCCCAGGGTCCCTCAGTTGTGGAGAGGCAGAGTGGGATGTGCACCCCGGCTTGACCCGGCTGTAGTGGTCGGCTCCAAAGCACAGCCAGGCCAGGGTTTGCAGGCCCCAGGGAGCCATCGGCTGTTCCAGGAGCAGCCAAGCCCACCCGCCTGACGCCAGCTTCCCACCCCACGCAGGAGAAGCAGGACAAGGTGGTGCTCCAATCAGAGGTGGCCAGCCTGCGGCAGAACAACCAGCGGCTGCAGGAGGAGTCGCAGGCCGCCAGCGAGCAGCTGCGCAAGTTTGCAGAGATCTTCTGCCGGGAGAAGAAGGAGCTCTGAGGCGGGAGGCCACCACCCGGCCTTCGCTCCTTCCCTGCAGGCCATGGCCCTGCTCGCCTCTCTCCCTCTACTCGGCTCCCAGCTGCCCGTGTGACCAAGATGACTCAGCCAGGGCCCTCCCCGTGGACACAGAAACCCTGATGGCCTCACTAGGGCTGTGAGTCAGGGTCAGCGCACGGCCCTCATGCCCGAGGGTAACGTGGTCTCAGGCCTCCCTCTGAGCTGCCCAGCTGTGATCCCAGTGAGCTGTGCCGTGCTTACACCGCTTCTGGGCCTGTCCCGCTGTCCCCATCTAGCCTCTTCCTGGGACCAGCCCTCTGAAGCTGATGGGGACAGAGAGAGGAGCCAGTCCCCAGACCCCGCGGCTCCAGGAGGTCACAGAGCAGGTTTCTGCGCCATGCACAACGACGTTGCGGCTTGTGGGGCCAAGGCCCCTGCATGAAAAGTACAGCGTGAAAGCAACCGTTTCTTCCCCACACCCAGAGAGGTGAGGCCCGCGTGGACACAGACCGGGGCGCCTCGGTCCCTGGCGCGTGAGCTCCAAAAAGCACGAACATGATCCTCCCCAACCCCCTCCTCCCAAACAGCTGCCAGGAGCACTTTCTTAGAGTTTAAATTATTTTCTTGGGGGCCTGAGGATAGAGAGAGGCAAGGCCAGCCTCCAGAGCCAATTTATTTGAGAGAGAAACTCTATTTGTACCTCCGGGACGGTTTATATGATCTTTTTCTATCAGCTCCTCTTCCACCAGAGGCCACTGCACCTGGGCTGGGGGTCCACAGGCCCCTCCACCTTCCAGCTAACCAGGTCAGGCCGGGGCGGTGGAGCCACCACACAGCTGACTCTCTCCTCCTCCCAGCACGACCTGGCCCTGACCAGCAGCCTCGGCTTCTTCTGGGCTCCAGGAGGGGCTCCCGAAGCCCTCAGTACAGGGCTGGAGGAGAACAGCCTTCATCTCCTCCTCTGGTTTTTTTTTCCTTTGCAAGTCTCCCAGCCCATCTCTCCAAGCAGCAACCACCAGACCCCCTCACCGTGCTCCCTGGGGAACACTGTGCCCCGCGAACCCCACTGGACGCTGGTTCTCTAAAGGCAATAAGGGGCGGCCACGCCGGTGTGGTACCATGCTGTTCACCCAGGAAACCGTTTCTTTTTTTCCTTCTTTAAAAACAAACAGAAAAAGATATATATATATATATATTTATTTTTTCATGTAGAGTTGGCGCCAGAACAAGCCTATATGGCCACAGTCTGTGGATTCACCCCCCAACCTCAAGCTGAGGACCAAGGCGTGTCCCCCGTGGGCTGGGGGTCAGTGGGAGGACCAGAGGAAGGAAGTCAGGGCAGGCGGGCAGGCCGGTGCCCTTTTTGGGAGGCACCAGGCGGGGAGGAGTTGGCAGAGCAGGTCTGGCCGTGAGCCAGCACCAGGTAACCCGGCCCTTGTCCAGGGACCCCTGCCACCTTCTTTCTGGGGTCAGGAACCTCAGGGAAGGGGGCTCCGGGGACTGCGTAGGATGCAGGCACTCAGGGAGGTGCCGGTGTGGATGGGTGGGGGTGAGAGAAGAGGGTTCTCATCGCGTCTCCTGTGATCAGCCTCTGGCCCCCTGGAGGAGGAACCCTCAGCGCTGCCCCTGCCCCCACCCTCACCCCCCACACCGAGAGTGAGGTGGGCGTGCCCCAGGCAGCGTCCTCAGCCCTGGCCAGCTACTGTGATGCCATCTTCTCCCCCATCCCCTTCTCTGGGGGGCCCTCCCGTCCCCCACCCCCACTTCTTAGACCCTAATCGGGCCCCTTTTGTTTTCTTCAGTTGTCTCCTCCCATCTTCAGATCATTCGAATCATTTTAGGGACTTAATCATGTACATGGACAAGTGTAAATTATGATTTTTGGTTTTGTTTTGTGTTATTTTTTAAGGATTTCTGCAAAAACAGATCTATTTAATTTGAGGTTGGTGTTCTATCCGATGGCTGAAGATAGCAGCAGGTTTTGTTTCTTTTTTTTCATATGTTGATTTTTTCATTTGGATTTTTTATTATTATTCTTTATTGTCTTTTTTTCTTCCCCCATCCCTGTCTTGAGATTTTCTGGCATGTTTCTGGAGGTTTCAAAGGAAATAAATGTTTCATAGAAATAGCTTGTCTGTTCACTTCTGGGGCAGCTGCCTGGAGTTGCTGACAAGAGGGTGTGGTCCTGCATCGGCCTCTCCTCCTCCTGTCCCCAAGTCCCCCACACCATGACCACCACACACACGTCCTAAGAGCCAGGGGCACCTGCCTTGCTAACTTCTTTTCCTTGGAATCCAAAGGACAGAAATCCAACACTCAGAATGTGAAATGTCCTTAAGTTCAAAAGAGTGAAATTCTGCCTCAGAGGTACTGGAGGCCTGAAGGCCAGACCTGGCTCAGCCGGTTGTGTTGGGTCTTAGAAATAGTGGCCAACTTTTAATCTGAACATTCAGCCAGGCGCTGTAGCTCATGCCTGTAATCCCAGCACTTTTTGAGAGGCTGAAGCAGGAGGATTGCTTGAGCCCAGGAATTCAAAACCAGCCTGGACAACATAGCAAGATCCTGCCTCAAAAAAAAAAAATTTTTTTTTTTTTAAATTTTTTGAGACAGACACTCTTTCTGTCGCCCATGCTGGAGTGCAGTGGTGCAATCTCAGTTCACTGCAACCTCCGCATCCTAGGTTCAAGCGATTCTTTTGCCTTAGCCTCCCGAGTAGCTGAGATCACAGGCACCCGGCTAATTTTCATATGTTTGTAGAGACGAGATCTCACCATGTTGGCCAGGCTGGTCTCGAACTCCTGACCTCAAGTGATCTGCCCACCTCACCCTCTCAAAGTGCTGGATTACAGGTGTGAGCCACCATGCCCGTGCCCGGCTTAACTTTTTTTTTTTTTTTTAATGGAGATTGCACATGAAGAAGGCCAGGTTTCCAGCTTGGTTGATCTTTCCTTTGCTGCAAGACTCACAAGGGGCCCCTGCCTCCTTTGGTCCCAGCCACATGGCTGCATTTGGGACACTGTCCCCCTTTGGTCTGTAGAGGTGGGAGGAGACCCCCCCCCACCAGTTGCCAAGTGAGTGCTTTGGGGGTAGGAAGCAGCCCCTCCTCGGCCCAGATCTGCATCTGGCCTGATGGACATTTGCATTTTGGGAATCCAGATCAAACTGATTTCAGAATCAGGAAATTCCTCCTGAAAATCCCGAAGTGCAGCGCCTTGAGGGAAGCCTAGCCTCCTGATGGGGCTGGCCAGGTGGGGTCTCTCTGCCCCCCTTACCCATGTACCTGTCATGGAGTTTCACATCCCTGAGCTAAAACCCAGTGCTTCTCTGACTCAGACCCTGCCCCCTCCAAAAAATGTCTTTTTCCAAAAGGCGTGGGGCTGGCATCCGGAGGAGCAGGACCAGCCATTCCCACGTCTCCTAAAAATTCTGGAGTTCTTCAGACACTCTCCCAGTCTCCGCCCTCCTCCTCGACGCCCCGTCCTCAACCCGCACTGCCCTCCCCCCGCCACCAGGCGAAGGGGGCGGGAAGCCTGGGAACAGGCTGTTCTCACATCCTCTTCTGGCACCGGAGCCACGCCAGCTGCTTCCAGCACCCCACAACTCGCACGCATGCCAGCCCCTGGTCGCGCCCGAACTGTGCTTTGAGGCCTGGCCCTTCCCTTCGTGTCCCAGTTTCTAGCTTCGTCTGCCTGTCTCGGACCTCCCTGTCTCTCCTCTCCAATCTTTCTGGGTCCCTCATACCTCCAGCTCTCTCTGCAGATTGTTCTGCTGTTCCCCTAAATTCTGTCTTCTCCTTCTCTCCCCTGCTGCCCGCGTCTCTCCCCATCTCTGCCTGTTGTCCTGGGACTTTGCCTGTCCCTGATCCCAAGTCTCTCTCTCCACCTGCAATGTGGCTCCTTCTCTGTCTCCCCTCCTGGAGGACCTTTCCCTAAATCTGCTGCTGCTCTTCCCCAATCACCATCCTCCTCCTCCTCCCGCCTCTCCCAGCATGTCAGCCATTCTTTATTACTGTTATTCCCTCTCCCACTAAACCTCCTTCTCACCCCTGCTCCCTTCCTCTCTCCCAGTCCTTCCTCCTGTCTCTCCCTTCTGCACCCTCCTGCTCTTTTTTCTGATTCTCTCAATAACTGTGCGACTGTCCTCATCTCTTTCTCTCTCCTGATCTGTGTCCTAGTTCCCTCACTCCTCACTCCCGCCCCCCACGTGTCGCCCACATCTCAGTCTCTCTCCCAGTGCCAGTGTCTAGATACCCTCCTGCCCTCCCTTAGTACCTCTGTTTCCACCCCATCCCCACCGCTGATTTGCCCCACATCCAGGACAGGGAGCTCCCTGGAGGTGTCTGGGCCTGGGATGACACCTCCTGACACCCCCGTTCCCCACCCCAGTCTCAGGAGGGGCCAACCCACCGTCCTCTTCCCAGCCCTTCCCTTCCCCCGGCCCGGCTCCTGCCTCCCTCTTGGCTGCGCCCGCTGCAGCTGCAGCAGCCCGTTGCCAGGGCAACCACAGCTGGCTGGGCGGGAGCCCCTCCACCCCATCCCCCTTCTCCTCCTTTCTGGCAAAGCAAGGCAGAGCTGGGACAAAGCCGGGGAGAGGCAGGGTGCAGGCGGGAGGAGAAGGAGGTGGATGGAGGTAGGGGCTGGCTGGTCGTCTCACCCCCTACAAGGCCCCCCCAGCCCCGGCCCTCCTTGGTGATGCCCCAAACCAGACGGGAGAACGAGGCAGTCGTGGGCAGAGGGGTCAGGCCCAGTTTAATACACAGAACAAGTTAATTCACAGCAGAGGCAGGCAATAGAGGAGACTCGGTGACAAGTGGGAGGGCACTCCTGGATTGGGGGACATCCCCCCAAAACCCACCACCTCCCCCACCTGCAGTCTCAGTTTCCCTTTTTAAAAACCCGAACAACAAACACACACAACCACAAGAAACAACCACGCCCCCTCACTCCCCCCAAAATGGCCAGTGAGGGGGGCGGGGGCCGCCAGGCCTGGCGGGGCGGGAGGAGGACGGAGGAGGGAGGGAAAAGGAGTCCGTGGCGGAGTCTGTGCTTCTCATTCCAGCAGGCGCTGGGCGGGGGCCCACCCGGCCCCACCACCGCCACCCACCAGCCACGGCAGGCACGGGGCGGGCACAGGCCAGGGCGGTCAGGGAGGGGCAGGAACAGAGTTCAAAACCAAGGTTCACATCATGCAGTATCCACCGTGGGCACCGGGAGGGGCAGGTGGACACCACGCCCACCGCCCTGGGCACAGGAGGGGAAGGTGCCCACCTTGGGTGGGGCGCGGGACGGCTGCAGCTCCAGAAATTGGGGTTCGGGCGCCCGGCAGGGGGCCGGCAGAGGCGGGTGCCCAGTGGACGCTCTCAGCAGCGCCCCTCCACCCAGCCAGGCCTTGGAGGACTCTTTGTATATATTAACTTCTTTTCCTTTTTTTTCTTTTTTTTTTTAACTTTTTGTCTTTTTCTTTAGAAAAAGGCTCTGTCCATGCCCCTGGCTGGCACCCACCACCCCCCATGCCCGCCCAGAGGCGGGGTATGGCTTTGAGGGGAGAAGCCCCTGGTGTCCATTTGCCAAGGGACAGAGAGGGAGGGAGGGAGGGAGAGGCCCTGGCCGGGCCCACCCACCCACAGGGCAGACATTCCACTTGCACAGAGGGGAGGGGGCGGCCCAGCCCCCTCTCGGCTTCCCCCTCTCTCCCTCCCGCTGCGGGGCATTCAGTGTGGGGGAGAAGTGAGGAGCTCAGAGAGGCAGGTAGGCGAGCACCACCCCAGAGTCCCGGCGCTGAGCCGGCCTAGGTGAGGGTGATGTAAGCAGAAGCCTTTTCCTTCAGGTGCCGAAGACAGAGGTGACAGCTCCAGCTCCCTGCGGGGGCGGCCGAAGCTGGAGTCAGGCCCACGTCCGGGAGGGCTGCCCCAGCCGCTTCCCACCCAGAGGACACAGTTTTCGACAACTGGGAGATGGGCGTTCCCACCCCCCCACCCACGTGGTGCCTGCCTCTCCTCTCACCTTCTGGGGGCTCCGCCATGGGGGGGCTGAGGCAGTACATGTGGTAACCCCGATCGCAGTCGTCACAAAACAGCAGCTGGTCCTGGGGGGTGAGACCCGCCCAGCTGGCACCCTGGGGGCACGGGCACCAGAAACGGGGGTGGGGGGCTGGGGCAGGGGCTAGGTCAAGGGGGCTGGGGGGAGGTGAGGCCTGCCAAGAAAGTCTCTGAGAAGGTCTTTGCAGCAGGAAATGTGTGCACAACACTGCTTAGCCCAGCACATATCCCTCGGGACGGTCCCTTTGCGATTTATAGTGGGGGTTTCATAAGGATTTATAGTGGGGGTTTCACAAGGCTCTGCGGAACGTTTATTATTATTATTATTTTATATTTTTAGAGACAGGGTCCTACCCTGTTGCCCAGGCTGGAAGTGCAGTGGTGCAGTCACAGCTCACTGCAGCCTCACACTCCTGGGCTCAAGTGATTCTCCTGCCTCAGCCACCTGAGCTGGGACTACAGGTGTGGGCCACCACGCCTGGCTTTTTTTTCTTTTTTTTCTAATTTTTTGTAGAGATGGGGGTCTCACTATGTTGCCCAGGCTGGTGTAGAACTGCTGGGCTCAAAACTCCTCAGCCTCCCAGAGTGCTGGGATTACACGGGTGGACCACCACTCCCGGCCTGTGGAAGGCCTTATATGACACCAAGATGATCTGATACCAGCTCTGCCAGCAACGGTCATGGCTTTTTTTTTTTTTTTTTTTGAGATGGAATCTCGCTCTGTCACCCAGGCTGGAGTGCGCAGTGGCACCATCTCGGTTCACTGCAATCTCCACCTCCTAAGTTCAAGAGATTCTCCTGCCTCAGCCTCCCAAGTAGCTGGGACTACAGGCACCCAGCTAATTTTTGTACTTTTGTAGAAACGGGGTTTCACCATGTTGGCCAGGCTGGTCTGGAACTCCTGACCTCAGGTGATCCACCCACCTCAGCCTTTCCCAGAGTGCTGGGATTACAGGTGTGAACCACCACGCCCGGCCTGTGGAAGGCTTTAAACAATCCTAAGATGATCTGATACCAGCTCTGCCAGCAGTGGTCATGGCTTTACATTTCAGCTCTTCCATTTCCCTAGCTGGCTGACCCTGGCCAGGTC